CACTCTATTCCATATACCTTTTGCTTGTGCTTCTCCTACACTACGGATGCCCTAGTTTATGTACAGTCCGTGTGATGTCAGAAATGCTTACCCCTCTTTCCGACTCAAGGCATACAAAAGCAGGGGGTAAACTTACCCCCCAGATTTGCCGATCACGCATCTTCGTGCCTGCCAACGAGTGCGCCCGTGTTGTTCCAATGTACCCTTCCCAGTCGGCGATGTCACATTTACATTCTTTAGCGCGAAGTGTGTACGTAGCAACCTTTCTCCCAAAACATGTAATCACTACATGCTTTGCCGACTATGTAACTAGTACATCCGGTGCGATTCGGCTAGCTTTCGACCTCCTCCCCCTGGCCTCAAGTTTCCTGTGTTTTGCGCTCGAACTTACCGACTTGGAAGTGAGAAACCTCCGGTTGGAGGAAAGGTGCATCCATCTACTGCATCTACAGTATTTGTCCGTGCATGTCGGCCCAAATATTTTTCCAGTGGAAGCTGCACACCTCTCAAGACAGTTGGGTGGGTTCAGGAAATGCTTGGAACACACAGCTGTTCAACTTCATGGGATGCTACTGGTGGCAGTCTGCAGTCACCGCGACAACGCTCATTACTCGACCCAGAAGCATATTGACATTGGCTTCTGTACTGAGCTAAAAATTAGCAAAAAAAAATCTGGTGTGATAAACACAGGTGCGGTGTGAGTGCCAAAGAAGTAATTGTAATGCTTATTCACATTGCGCATGCTACTAATTCACATTGCATATATAGCTGATAAAAGCTTGTGGATCCGTGCCATGGCATTCCGGGCCCTTCGTGCTTGGTTTGGGCAGCCAAGCTTTTGGGTGTCCCAGCGATTTGGCCCTGTGTGCAGACGTGTCTGTGGCTGCACCCCTCGGGTTCAAGAGATGCCCTTGAAAAGCCATGACTTTTGAGAAGCAGCCATGGATTAGGCAGTGTTCGTCATTGTTACTGTAAATTAATGATTGTTTTTTTGGCAGTGTGCCCCTTAAGAATTCTTAAGAGGCAGTGTGGCATTGCGCGCCGCACGAGACTTTTCCAATGATCGGCTGGAGACTTCCGTTCCTGACAGTTCCAGAGAGATTCTGTTCGAAGACGTTTTGGAAGCTGGCAATGACATTGACTGGGAACAGGAACCGCAGCTAGCAGAGAGGAAAGGGCCAGCAGTGGAAACAAAACCTGCTCCACTGACTGATAAAGAGCTGGAAGATGCCAACATTCTCACATTGGAAAAGGATGAGTTTGTTTGGGCAATTGGTCGGGCTGCCACTTTGGGGTTGGCCCCTTCAGCACGAATATGGCGAGACCTGCCACATGCTATTCATGCCTTTGGTGGCCCTTTGGAATTCTCGCCCTCAGAGGTGTGTCGCTTGCTCCAGGCTTTAGCTTATGCACCCGCTGATGCCCCAGTCGAGAAGAAGTTGCTACAAAGGCTCTTTAAAGTGTTCGCTTTGCGGGCCAAGGAGTTTTCAGATGAGAGGTTGATGCGTATCATGTATGCCTATGGGAAGCTTTCCTCCAAACGAGGGCTATACTTGCCCCGTTTCATGGATTTTGCCACCAGTGAAGTCGTGGAGCGAGGAACATCCTTGAGGTCTTGGAGGCAGGTGAGGATATTGGAATCTGTTGGTTCCCTTCCAGAAGCTGGGCCAGAGTTCAAGACTTTGCATCTTGCAAGCCTTGCTGCCAAGAGATTTTTATAGGTTATCCATGGTTTTCCCTAAAGTCATTGCAGCAATTGAGTGGTTGGCGCAGAGGCGCATGCCCATGAGCACAGGCGATAGGGACGCGGGGCCGGTTGTAAACCTACCAATTTGGTGGGTTGCACCACGCCGAACTGCAACTGACCCTGTTTGTGCGTACAGCTGACCACCCCACCAATATACCAGAGTACCATTTACATTTGGCATAAGCGTTGCTTCACTCAGCATCGACCACACCGCATTTGTTTTTTGGGAAGCTTCCTCACATGCCTTATCCTCCAAGGCTTGTGTCCCAAGTCATGAAACTGGGAACTCAACAGCTTGATGCCGAGTGCTTCGCCAAGTTTGTGAATATGGTGGTGGACACCAAATACCACGAACGGCCTGGAGCCATCGACCGGCTGAATGCGGTGTACCGGCGCAAGTTGAAGCACACTCGCTTCAGCAATCCTGTTGCTTGGAGGGAGTGTTCTCACCGAACAACTTTTAGCATGTGAATTTTGTTGGCCGTGTTTGATAGACGTGTTTTTTACATTGGGGCAGAAGTTCAAAGTTTTCTTGTCAATGCTTAGACCACGCTGTGGCCGCACTACTCTATGTAAAGAGATTTTTCCGTGGCTGACCATAGCATCTCATAGTCAGGAGTTGATTCTGACTTCGGGGATGCCAATGTTCCTCTTTGATTTGATGAAGACTTCAGTCCTCACCCGTTGGTTGGATCGCATCTCCCGCCTGCATTTGCCACTCGAAGCAGGTGCCGTTGTTCGGACCGGCTTGGTCTTCGTGTCCGGGGCACATGATCGGGATTGGCTACAGCCGGCTGATGCAGCAACTGCTTTTCCAAAATTCAAGAGGTTGTGTTTTGTAGTTTTGTTCGTGCTTTCCACCTGCCTGTGACATCAATTGATCGCATTATGATATTATGCCAAAATTTTGATTTGCCAGGCAAGAGCCTCCAAGAATTTGGAGTGTTTGAAATTGGTCGACCTTGTGTTGCGCCATGAGCGCCCTAGTAGTTTGGAAGCATTGACAGCAGAAGGGCTGCAACTGTTGGCAAGAGCGCGTGCTACAACCCTGCAACCTCCTGATGAGCATGAAGCTCAGCTGTGTACACTTGGCAATTGATCTTGAAGAGAAGCAGTTGTAGATCTTGGCTCTGTGGGCACCATGCACCGCAAGCTTATGTATATATATATATTTATGTCCAGTAGCCAGTAACTCTTGGCTTGTTGGATCATGTTTGTTATTGTTTGTTCTTATTGGTGCATGTCCAACATGGGTAGATATCGAGAGGTTCAGTCACCGCACGCAGAGCCGAATTCCCGTAAAGCCGTATCATGAGAGACTGTAATTGGTTCGGAGTAGGGGTATTATTGAGAGTCAGATGTTTTTTTACTTCGGCCCTGGCCAGACAAGGACATGCCAGAGCTTCCACATGTTTATGCAGGTCTCTCAAAGCTTTTTCGACAGCTTGGAGTTTTGTTGCATCCCACAACTTGTGGCCCATACCTGCTGGAGATCGCAGATCCACTTGGACACCTTGTAGTTGAATGGGATACGAGTTGGAAGCTATACCCTCCCTGGCGGCAAGAGAGGCATCGAGAGTTTGTCCAGCGGAAGCACTTCCATCTTCGGGCCGAGGGCTGGAAACTGTTGCAGATATCGCTGGAAACTTACACTGCATTCACTGAAGAGGAGAAGCTTCATTTCCTGAACCAGTTCTGCAACGAGCAAGGCCTAAACCACTTGCGTGTGGGCCAGCTGCCTGAAACAATGGAGAAACGGGCGCCCTCAGTGAACCAAGACCATCGGTACCCTTAGCACATGTTCCAGCATTTTGCTAGAAGCTCTCACTCTCAGTGTGGTCTGGCAACAAATAGCAATCCGTTGAAAGGTCTTTTGCCCGCACTGGAGCTGAACGTTGCGCTGTTGCACTGCTCAGGATTCGGTCCACCCGATGTGAAGATCAATCCAATGCACCGACCAGAGTCGCAGCTTCTGAGAAGCCCCCCGGCCCAACAAGGCAGCAATTTAGGTGGCAAACATATATCATATATACAGCAATACTTGCAGATAGTCGCATAAGATTCTGAGTCAATCTGTTGGCAGCGTGACTGAGGACGCCATTGCTGGCCACTTGACTGCAAGCGACCATATGATCCAAACTAACTATTTATACAGAGAGAGTGAACTGCCCACTACCTCTCAGGCAAAAGCTGCTGAGAATCGTTCCATTGCTGCACTCAGTTGTTCCACATTGCTTAGGTTGAAAGAGAGCTGTGACTCCTAGTGATATTTAAGAGCTCCCATGGTCTAGCAAGGAGTGCCATCAATGGACAATATGCGGGCAGTCATGAGATTCTCAGCGCGTGGCTACAACTATCACCTGCCCAGCAACAACACAACCATGCTGGTGGGGTTGTCATCAAGACCTGTATATATGCTGCAATCCTGACAATACTGCATTCAACGTTTGGATTTAGTTGGTATGAGCTGAGTTGGGTTGCTTTGTTGCTGCTTTTCACCTATGTCCATTGACCATACAGAACCTGTGCAGCCAGGCCTCTATTTGGCAACTGATCGTTTATTGGTTGCGGCTCATGCAGGTTTTGCTGCCCCTGTGTCTTGGTTGCAGGCTGACCAGTACAACTTAAAGTTTAAAGCCTTTTGGAGTTTCGTAACTTGCTTGGAGGTTCTTCTTCATTGTGAACAAGCCTTGCCCAGCAGATGGCCATCCTAAGTCATGAGCTCGCAAGTGGATATGTAGCTTCAGCTCATGGTCGAACGCGGAGGGATGGCTCCAAAAATGGAATCTGTCGATTTCGATGATGAAACTGTGGCGTATTCAGTGTTGCGTTTGCACTGCTCTTTGCGGAGCGGTAGTCTTTGCCTTTGAGACTTAGAGCTGATTAAGAGCTAGGCATCCCACCCAGAGTCAATTTTTGATCTTTGATCATGGCAAACAGCTGCATACGCAAAAAACGTGTGAGAACATCTCTTCCACCGTTTGGTGGCTTTTCCCTTCTTGTAGAACTCGTTTGCCCAAAGATGCCCAGGGCCCAGCATGCTTTGTACCATGGCACCTCCCCGCCAGGCAGAGTAGGGCAAAAGTGAGACGTGGCCTGGTGTGGAACTGTGCAACCCGAGCTGTCATGCGTGCTCCCGAAGCATTTCACATCCGAGCCATGAGCCTGGTTGCAGCCTAATCATGAATTACCAACTCTGATTGATAGAGTTGAAAGTATGCAATTAAATCATATTAAATCACAATTAGCAAACATTAAACATCATTAAATAGGATCTTGCACCTGCGATAGTAGAGAAGCACAGTTTCATTTGGATCATGAGCCTTGGAGAAGACTGGCGAGTCCTGATGTCGGAGCGTTCTGACAGATTTGGGCATGCCTGTGAGTGCATTCCTCGTGAGCTTGGCGATTGATCTCACAGCAGGAGATTTAGCCGCTGGGTATGCAGGGCAGCACTGGTGCATGAGGTCAGGTGTGAGGACTTGGCAGGTTAATGTGACACAATATGGGGAACAATCGAGGCCCGAACCCAAGCAACACCATATCCACCGGATGGGCCATGGATTTTCTATGGTACTATGGTAGTCAATCATGGCTTTCATGCGCCTCCAAGCTTGAAACTATTCGGGCCTTTGCTCTGCAGATTGGACAGGAGCTGAACATGCGCCAACTGACCATGTAGAGCCTTGATTGCAAACAAATACGCGAGTTCAGGTGGGAGACGTGTGATGTATGTATTATCAGCACAGTGTTGGACGGCAAGCCAGTGTGGTTTCATCATCAATCACATGTGTCATATCACGAAAGGTAGCTTGAGCTACCTGAGTTCTCCTTGCTTTAGCAAAAATGTATTACAATCAGGAGTTGGGATTGTGCATTGAATTTGGTCCTGTAAGACGAGTTGATTCTGTTCGTCGGGGGGGGGGCCCCCCCGTGGCTGGGAAGAATGCGCCCTATGAGGCGCACAGCTGTGCTAAAGATTGTCAAACGTCCAAAGCATTTCTCCATCCCGCACTAGCACGCTCAACTCAAGCCGAACGCGCTGTACATCTGACAGCTGCATCGATCAGCACGAGCGCCCAGATGTGACCAGGAATCCATCCCGCCTATCGATCACTTATATAAAGGGGATGGATTCCCAGGGTGACCTCACTTACAAAAAGCACAGATAAAAAAACGACAAGGAAAAACACACAAACACAAAGAAAAAAACGGGACACAAACATTTATTCTTTTTATATGAGGAAATCGCCCATTTATACTTTCTTTCTCTTTTGGCGATTTCCAATATAGTTAATGACCTAGCACTTGACCCCGGATACAATTTAGAATCAATTTAGAATGAAAATATCAAGTCCACTTAATTTAGGTGGTAATAATAAATAATGCATTAAAAACTATTGAAATTACTTAAGGATTTTAATGCCATGAATAGTAAATATGCTATAACATTTATAGATTAATAAGCGATTTTTAATAAGTGATCATAAATTTTATAGCCCTTACAATCACATCTGTCCCTTATCATTCACCTCCAGATCTAGGATGTGATTGCAAGGTTCATTCACCAATATTTCCCCTTTCATATCTTAACCCATAGAAAATATTGGATCATTCACTTCTTTTCTTTCTTTTTCATGAATTTTCAATAAGAGATTTTCTAGAAAAATTCATGATTCTTTATTAATTCCCTGCCAATTTTATGAAAAAATGTGATCGCTGTCAAAAAGCGATTATAAACATGCTAGTCTCTATATATATGGAGGATGACCATTAATTTATTGACATTTTCCTTTTTGTTTGGTATAAAGAATGCTTGTGGAGGAAATTAATGGTCATCGTATTTTATTATTATCAGTGAATTTCCATAAGTCATTTAATGGAAAATTCTCCCATCAATTATAAAGATAGAATATCCCTTTCAAATTGGAGCCTTGACGACCAAAGAAAACGTACGAAAGATAAAACAAAATACCAAGTAATATAAATGGACTAGCCGTTAACCTCACACATGAATATAAAATAAAATGTGTGATCATGATTATAGATAAGAAATAAAAGTTATGATCATTAATTTTCATTGTGAAAAGACAAAGATATGATGAAGAAAATTGATGTGAATGAACCAATATTAGACAATAAACACCATGATGACTGATAAAAAAGAGACAAAAGATAATATCAGTCATAAGGTGTTACACGGTTGTAGCTGGAGAACCTGATGTTGGAAAGTTACGAATAAAATTGTAAGAACCCCAGCTACAACCCCCAGATAAAGACCATTCATTCCCAACACTAAAACTAAAGAAAATGTTATTATAAATTTTAATGTTGGATCATTCATTATTACCTATTCCATTATCTATAACCATGACTTGGCAATCTATTTTATATTTTTGCCAAGGGTCATCCGCTAGGCTATAATTTTAATATCTTTCACCATCATATTCTTCTTAATTTTGGGCTTTATCTGTCATCATCTTTTATAATGAAAGAAACCATCCTTTTTGCTGCCATGCCAGAGCTTATAAAGCACCAAAAACAATAAGATATATAAAATAAATAGACGGGGAGCAACCTATAAATTTAAAGAGCGTATATTGTTTTTAAGAGATGAAAGATAGAGAAATAGCCAAGAAATTAAAATAGAATAACAATGAACCATTAAATCTGCGAATGGAAGTGCAGCGACATGTACAGTGCAACTTGTACATATATATGTACCATATGTACTTTGGCTCAAGGATCAAGCGACTAGAAAAGGTGCGGTTTCCGTTCCGACGCTACGCCGCTTATGGACCGTCGGTGATAGCTTCAAACTTCGCTGATTAAGATCCACTCGCAGGTTATCAGCCGTACGCGCTCTTTATAGCCGTACGAGCTACACGAGACCAAGAACAAGACTAGTCATTACAGAAACCTGCAATGTCAAGCTCAGGAGGAAATGGAAGCGAACCCTATTCATTCGCTGCTCCTGGTGGTCCCAACACCATTTCGTCACCAGACTCTACAATGGGTACTGATTCATCAGCAAATGCTGACGTTATCACTATGCCTACTGGATCACAAATCTCGGAAAGATCCGTGCCACCGGCTCGGAATCTGACCGATCTTGCACCCGTAGGACCAAGAAGATCGATGAGAGCTACAACAAGATCTACATCGCCTATAACGTCTACCGCGAGATCCCCAAGAAGGAGTATAGAGAAGAGACGTGACGATGATAGAGGAACAAAAGAGCAAAGAAGAGAGATTCAGCTGGGTGAAGAATTGAGATCGGCGAGAAACGCATACAATTTTCTTCATGAAGAATATGAATGCATCCAAGCCGGATACTCACGACTACACCACGAGGCTGAAGTGGAGTTCAGGCAAATGTCTGACTACAACAGGAAGATGCAGGAACATCTACAAGAGATGACACAGGAAGATGAAGGAGCGACAATAAGAATTGAAGAGCTCGAACACAAGCTACGCTTGGCGGAATCGACAGCTGAACATATCTACATGAGATATCAAGAGCTTGCACAAGAAACTCATCAAGAACATTCAGAGCTTGAATCTGTGAAAGCAACGAAGGACAGAATGTCCCAAGAGCTTCAAGCAGCAATTGGACACATCCAAGAACAGAATGAATCTTCATTGGCGATCAATAGAAGATCAAAAGCCATTCAGGATGAGAACACAGCCTTCGTCGGAATAGCTGACCAGATACAAGCTAGAATGATTGCGCTACAGGATGAGAATGTCAACGTGCACGAGGTGATCCAACACCAGAGAGAAGAACAATGGAACAGTGAGGTCAGAGAAAGACGTCTTCAACACAGTGTTCACTCATCTCAAGATCAGAGCAATCAGGAAGCTATGGTTATTGATCATCTACGAGGTCAACTAGCTATGGCACGTGGAGCTGAACTCAACGCGAGAGCGGAGATAGGAGAGATGGAAGTGGGCATGAGGATGGAGATGTTTGTATGCCAGACTGAAGTCTCTGCTAAAGAAATGGCAGAAATGAAGGCGAGCCACCATGAATACGAAGCAAATGTTGCAAAGGAGGTTATCGCAAAAGGAGAAATATTCAACAACGAAGTCCTAGAAAGTTCCATCCGTGAACGACAACAGTTGAAAGACGCCAACCTCGCTCTATCCGAAGCCAACGCACAGCTGAAAAGAGAGAATATGATGAGAGCTCCTATGTTCGGCGATGATGGTGCTGAAATTCAACAGAAGATCAGAGAACTGGAGAATGCACTATTGGAAAGCCAGAAGGAGACAAAGAATGTCATTATGGAAAATGCGAAATTAAAAGCAGAAGCACGAATGGCACCCATAGTCTCTCGGTACAGCAAGCGTCCTAGTTCCAGAGACCGCGGGTTACCAACCCACGCGTCCGAGGAAGATGAGATTCGGAACGCAAAAGAGGAGGCGAAGCACTACAAGGACGGGTACAATGAAATGACAGAGAGCCGAGATGAGATGTATGAATGGTATGCCGAAACCCACAATGAGTACGCCGAGGAAAGAGAGAAATCAATTGAGCTATCCGAGGCGAACAAATCATTGAGGGACAAGATTTCAGAAGCAGAAGCATCCTCTTCATCTCATCTTGCACCGGCAACCTCTACAATCATGAAAGTATCGAGGAAGGAAGAATCAAAGATAAACGTTCCGTCATGGCCCAGGATCAATGATCTTGGACTATGGAAGGCAAATCTCATTCAATCGATCATCATTGCGGCCAATGATTCAGATCAAGAGCCCTAGATCGACTGGATCAAAGAAGCCATGGACGATCCTGATCCGGACAAGTTTGTCGACTCAGGAGACCAAAGATTCCATTCAATCGATGCCAAACTCGGCCTAGCTCTTACCAAGGTCGTCATGGATGCGAAAGATGATGGTTCAGGTGTAGCTATGAAGTTGAGGACGAGGATCAATGCAAAAGGGAGAACATCAAGCCTCATAAAGGGAAGAGAGGTCCTAGCCCTGATCCTTATGAATTTCAAGACAACATCAAATGTGGAAGTCTTATATACTTCAATGCACCTCTACCAACTAGAATATCAAGGAGACAAGAACTTATCGTTGTTCTTCCACACTTGGGATGAGATTCTGGCAGGAATGAAGCCCGTTGACGCCCCGAGCGACGAAACTCTTCGGGATCTCCTATGGAGAAAGATCAGGAACTCAAACCTCATGGCATACGACATCAGCGCCTACAACAGCATGAACGACGATGATGCCAAGAAGACGTACAAACATCTACGTGATATGATCAGAAGGCACATCGAACGGCAAACTGAAGACAGGATGATCCTGGAAAAGGAGAAGGCAGTGAAGAATGTGGCCAATATCTTTCAGAATCTCAAACCAGGCGGACCTGCTCCAAAACTGAAAGCTGCACCAGCTGATCCGAAGAAGAAACCAAAAGGGCAACAAGAACAGGTTGTCTCAGAAGACGCTGCTGCAGTGAAGCCGAAACCCAATCCCAAGAAGCATCCTGAAGACAAGAACAAAAAGGGAAAGGGGAAAGGTAAAGGTGATGGAAAGGATCGCAGCCGAAGTCCGAGTACAGACAAGAAGAAGATACCATGCAAATACTTCGTGAAAGGTAACTGCACTATGGGGAAAGATTGCCCATTCAGTCACAAGAAACCCAGATCACCATCCAGAGGATCTTC